ATTTAAGAATGTGATCATAAAATTTTTGCATGTAAAATTATAAAATGAACAGGTATTAGTATTAAGTAACCATTTATATGTATATTGCACGCCATCTGCTTGGCAAATTGTAGCTGAACAATTTTACGTTTAAATTTAAGATCCATCAATGTATGATATGTACCTACAATTGCAATAAACTAATTTGATTTNCCTCCAGACTCCATCCAGCTCAATGGTACCATAATATTGCATTTTCAACGTACTTACATAAGTATACCAAATTTCAATTGGTTGAGGAAAACTGCTTTTAAATTCAGTTGCAAGATTTATCCCATACTAACTAACAAGCGAAGTGCTTGTAAAAATGGTACGCATATCTTTTTTGCGACTATTTTTCTTAAAGTATTATACCATTTTGGAATCTTGGATAGTTGCGTCAACTTTATAAAAAACTTGCCGCAGTAGTGTTCATACTTTTTTTTTACAAAACGACGAGTCAAAGTGGAGTGAAAGTAAAAATCGTTCAAAATTTTAAGGAAATATCATATTTTGATTAACTTTTGTGTAAAAACTGCAAGGATTCTGGGGGTTTTAAGAATTGGGATGGACAGCAGCACTACTTAAGTTGCCGATACACACAAAAAAAACAGAAGTATTTGAAAAATTGTGGTCGTCGTAACGTAAAATATCATAAGGGGTGTCAATTTTCGACGAATTTCATAATTTATTGTGTAACTTAAAAAATAATTGAGATAGATTTTTTTTCTTATTTTTCCTAAAGCAGTCATGACTATGTCCACCCTGCGGCGCCGGCTTATCGTTGAATTTTGGGACACGTTGTATGTACCATCCTAGACTGCATCCCACTTAATAATCAGTGTGATTGTGGTCAAATATCTGCCTTGTTATGCATAAAACAAAAAAAAAAAATAGTTTACAGAGACTCCCAACTTCTTACTTCCAATATTAAAAAATCTTTTAAAATATATTTTATTTTGCTTCTAGGTACTTTATTATCATAATAATTCATATCATTACAGCAATCGATCAATATTACAATCAATTTGCATAATAAAATAATGTAATTTAATTATGTATGTTATGAAATAATTATAATGATTAAACTTTTTAAAGTTCTGTTATTAAATGCTTTTAATCTATAAGTAATGACAAACAGATTGTGAGTGAGAGATCCAAATTATTAACAAATAATATTAATTAGTGAATATCTACACAAAACATTTGTTTGTCTTATTGTTCATCTTAATTTTAATTAAAGAAAATGCTGAACTTTCCTGTTGTGTAAGTAAATATTAATCTGATTATTCACAAAGAAGGCATGAGTCATGGCTATCATTGGTGACTGGTATGAATATGATTCAAGAGATTTTTAATGCTTCAAAATGTTTTTTACAGTAGAATCTGATTATAACGAAGCTCAAGGAACCGATGATATTATAGCCTGACCAGGAACATAAAAACCCTCGCCATGTTGCGGAAAACTAATGGTACTAATTTCTTTTAATGGCAACAGTAACTGAAAACTTCATTGACATGTCACCTTGCATGTCAGTCTATTGCTGTCAAAGTGTAAACAAACTTTATTTTAAATGTGCGCAATTGATTTTGTGAATTAAATTGCTAAAATCTTTTTATAGTCGTGAAAGAAAAGTGGTTTACAATGTGTTAAAGTATTTGTCGAAGAGAAATACTAAGGGTTCGGACAATATTTTCATTGAATAATGTTTCCGACAAAGGTTGTCAAATTGACTGACATGTTTATCGCATAGTACAGTCCTGTACAGTCCACTATGAAAATTAGCTGTGGTTTGTTTCAACTACCTTTTTTAAAAAATTTTGTCACTTTCTAAGTGTTGAATTTTATGGAATTGGGAAAGAAGTACCGAGTTTGAAGCGTTCATGAGCAGACATTGCAGTTGAATATTCAAGTTCTGAATTTGATTATTGATGAATAATAAAATAAATCGTACTAGCTCGATTGATGGTTTCATTTAATTTATTTAAACCAGGTTACCTATAATAATATTTTTTCGTTCATTTATGAAAATAACAAATTAGCCCGTAATTCTGAATCCTGATACATAAAGTTAGTCTATTAATTTAACACAGGTACGACTGTACTCAGTGTTGCACTATCAAATGCAATTGACGCGCCTCTATGCCAGGGTTTTTATGTTCCTGGTCAGGCTATACATCGTATAATCCGGACGTTATATTAAAGATTTTTTTTATGTATTTTGAGAAATAACAAATCAACCAACCTAATCAAAAATATGTGTCACTAAAAGCGGTCGGTCGTTAATGCGACGTCGTACCAAACGGATTCTACTGTAATAGTATACTGTGAAAAACTGTAAATGAAACCTGTTTTGAGACAAATAAATACTTTCTATTCTATTCTATTTTTCTTTCGACAACACTATTGCTGAAGTAAGAAATCTATATACAGGGTGGAATTTTGTTATGCCACCTGGAGGGAAAGTACTCTTAATACTGCAGATATAAAATTTTACTTGAAGAAAACATTCCTTTATTTTTGAAAAGAAAGAGAACTGCATTCATAGATTTTCGAAAATTTTTGATAAAAATAATTTAAGATTTTATGGATTTCCTTTCATTTGATTTATCAAGTTTGTTAGAGAGATTTCATCTTTATACTTGACCCTAACGATCGATGCAATAAAAATACAGGGTGTAATTTTTAACAGATTTAAGTTGGTTCGATTCCTGGGTGTGGCAAGCAAATTTTTGGAAATCTTTGAATGCAGTTCTATTTCTTTTAAAAAATAATAAAGGAATGTTTTCTTTGAGATTTTTTTTCTATTTTCAATATTAAGAGTACATTCCCTCCAGGTGGCATTACAAAATTCCACCCTGTATAAATAAAAATGAATTGATGTTTGTTAGTCTGATTAAAACTCGAGAACGGCTGGGCCGATTGAGCTGATTTCGGTTTTAAAATGTTTGTCGTAGTCCAGGGTAGGTCTAAACGGTGAGCAAATACGCGCTCGATATTGTTTTTCTGTGACAGACAAAATTCCACGCGGGCGAAGCCATGGGCGGAAATCTAGTTATTAATATTTTGTATCAAGCATAAAATGTATGTGTAGTTTATTCGGGGGAAAACTTGATATACGGCATAAAACAAGTGAACTTATTATTATTGCATTTAATTAACATTATTAGAACATATTGTTAAGATTATCAACACATACCAATTGGTTGTTACTGAATTAATAATAATATACTTTATTTTTTGACATAAAAATGTAATTAAAGAAAATTTATAGCTGGCATTGAAAATATTAGTTAACAGTAGTATGTTAACTGCAATTCAATAAATAATAATGAATTAAGTATGAAATTAAATGATGATCAATTCATACAAAGCAAGTTTCTTTTCACACAAATATCAAGTTTAATGGGCAATAATTTTGTAAGAATTCACTTTTCTCGAAGTGACAGTACTGTTGGAACAGCGATTATAATTTTGGAAAATAATTGTCACTTTCTTATAATGAAAATATAGTGCAATAAATTGAGAAAAATATTCAGCTAATATTACACCTGTTAAGTTTGTAAATGTAGTAATAACCAAACTGTCCCATGGGCAATCTCATCTGTGCGGGTGGCCTTCCGTCTGCCTCCAAAGGCGATACTAATTACCACTGTTATCATAAAAGGAAATGTCACTATTCAAGGTAAGCAACTGGAATTGAAACATTGGAAAATGGAAAACGTAGTGATATGCTCGTAATACTCACCAATTGCCACTTGGACTTCCGCGTGGGGTCTGCGATGGTAATCAACAGCCTGTGGATCATCTGCACCGTCCCTTCGTAATACACGAGCGCTGACTCGTAGTTCCCCATCAGAGCCATTTCCCGGGCCAACTTCGTATTCTCGCATATTTCTCCAACAGAAACTGCCATTATTGTCATTCCCGCTGCGTACATGTAACAATTCCTCCGTGAAAATTTTACGGTTCTTCTACAAAACCTCTGAATTCACCGTGAACTATCGACACGAGATCCCAGTGTACCACTTCGCATTTTTACTACACAACCCTCCAGTCTTTCATAGTATTTAAGCGATATTCACATCATAATTTACAACTGTATGTTTTTGTCATAGATTTCCTTTCTCATGGTTGTTTGAAATTTATAAAATGAGGACCATATTTTTGGAGACAAAACAAACTTATCAATTTCGTTCGACAATCCACAATCACAAATTGCAGGTCAAGTCAACTTAACTGCCAACCTGCCAAACGTTTCAACCAATCGCAAGTGAGCTTATTGAGCTTGGTATTATTGTTATGTTGGTAGTAGTGAAACTAGGTCTGTTCTCATTTACAAAATATGTTTCAATGCAATTAATTGAATGCAATTGATTTAAAATCGATTGAAATACAACAGTTGCAGATGGCGCTTTAGATCTACTTCCGGTATTATTTTTTAATGAAATACTGTCCAAAATCCAATCCATTGGCCTCTGATATTGCTAATTCAGATAATGCATCAAAAGTAGCTAGCAAAGCTAGAAAGTTTTCTCTTTTGCTTGTGTAATAAAAAAACAGGAGTTCAGTCTTGAGTTTAGTGATTTGATTCACTCACATTTATATTTCTGAATAATTAAATCTTTTTTTAATCCTTCGACTTCGTTAGCACACACATTTGGGATTATAAATGAAACAAAATGTTAACAATAAACATTATATTGATAATTCTAAGTATTATATATAGTATGAAACATAAATACAATCTTCAGTTATACAGTAGACTTTAATAAATATTTACATCCATTTTGTAGGTGTGTATGTAATAATTTATGCTCAGACTTTCATAAGCGAAGTATTTAACGTTTTAGTTACTAACGAAAAAAAAAACAGGATGCCATTGGGTGAAAGATGTGTAAATCGTTGTTACAAGATAGGTTTATAATTTTTAAAGGCGATTGATCAATCATAAAATTATAATTTCGTTCGTATCTCTTAAATCAACCGTGAGAATAAACATAGTCATAAATAGTCTCATGATAAGAAATATAGCTAAAATATACAGAAACTTCTCCATCAAAGTTAATATTTTCCGTTAGTTGGAACGAATAAACTTAAGCCTCTAACGTTAGTATTGCAACTATAACACGAAAATTGAGTATATCATTCCTTTAAACACCTACAACTAAAATAATAATTTAAAAATAAAGCACACAATTTTGAAAAATAAATTTCCTACATCAAAATTAAATGTGTTATGAAAATGTTTGCTCAAGAATTCTATATACTCGATGACAATTTTAATATTAAAGCATTGTGTATATCTTTGGGATAAAGAACAGATTTAATTTATTACAAAAAGGCTTTTTCATTATCAGGTCCACAACTGATAAACAACTATTTAAAAAAAAATAGTTTACTTCAATGTAGTTGACTATGTTAGTATTTAAACACCAAGTTTTCGTCAACCAAAATAAAATTAAGGATCATTGATGATACATTGTATGACACTGTTAGTAGTTTCAAAGTTGTATGTGATGAAAATGACATGCAGATATCATTATTAAAACTATTATGACGTTTTTTTCATCATCTCAGCTGAATAACACATCAGTTTATTTTTAAACACATTGATTAAATACATAACAATAGAAACAAACAACATCCAGTGAAGTCATTATATTATATACCTTATACAATATTTTTCGGCATTCACCAGCAAGTAATATTTAAAATGAAAATTGCAATTATACGAAAGTTTAACTTGTACAACTAACTATAACAAGATATACAAAAACACATAAACCTAAATAACCTAAATTAAACCATGTTGCTATAGTTTTATAAAACAATTTGGTGTGACACTTTGTAATCCTAGCACCAAATTTATTATGTACAACTTAAGAAACGTTACTATAAGAGAAGACGAGAAAGAGACTAGCCAAAATAAAATCGTTGTGGCGTCGAAACATTATGGCATTTGAAGATTGGGGCTTATTTCAGTGCTTGTATTTATGCACAAGCCGATCGTTGCAGGTGCACAAGCATTTTTAGGGTTTAAAACAAAATACCGCGTCCCTTAGTCCGTCACTGGGCTAAATTGCGAATTCCTAAAAGTCATCTCATCTCTATACAATAGGGGATCGTCGTTCGCTAAATGAGTGATCTGAAAGCTAAGATTATAAAATGTGGTTTCTGAAATTAATTCTACACAGTAAAAAATTGAATACACAGCGGCAAAAGCTTCATTATTGCTACCCCTCGCTAGAAACGTTACCGCCATGCCGCTGTGTGCCTGTATCATTTCATTACTAATGTAAATACCCGAACCGTACGATCTAAGCTTTTTTCTAGCACATAACTAAGTAAAAATACTAATATCGACTCTTATGCAAGACGACAAAGCTCATTTTCTATTAACACCAATATTACTTTGTCACAATATTAAAAAGTTTATTAAAAAGTGCTGACCCTACGTATCCATTGGCATTGCACAGATAAAACATCGAATTATAGAGAAGTGGGCGTGGATTCCCTTGTTAGCACAAACTCTTTGTGGTCTATGGCTATCCATGGATACATTTGGCAAGCACATAAATGTCGCATTATATTTATTATTTCCTATAAATTAAAGTAGACAACTATGTTTTCATATCTAGCCCAGAAATAATTCAGAAATATTCGGTAATAAATTACATGTACAAATTTCAGCATTTCTTTCGAATTAAATTAGAATAAGTAAATTTAGGACTACATACAATTAGAGCATTTTAATACGCATTATACATACTCATATAACCTTACAAGGAATATACTTATCACAATGTATGGTGGTCCAACAGATTTTCATTTCTGAACATATCACTGGGATGGTGATTACAAATAAACCCTACATTATTTATGTTTATCTGTCGATATTAAGAAATTAATTAAAAAGGTTTACAATACAAAGTTCAAGTTACAACTCTGTTTCGCGATCAGAATAAGTTTCACTTTTCCAGTTACACGTTATTCTAAAATGTAAACTATTTTTCCTTAATAATGTTTTCACACTTGTAGTATTGGCCATTATTGGGCAGAGCAGCTGTTAATTTTTAATTAATTTAACAATTAAGCTACTTAACTACACTACCACATCCAATTACTACTTAAAATTAGCTGGACTGAATGTTTTGAGCTTGTACCTATAAGACAATTTGAATATTATGTTTCAAAGCTTTTTTTATTATTATCATTTGTAGGAGTTCCCATACCGCGTAACTTTCGTTGTCCGCTCATTTTTCTTTAAGATTGCGAACATGTCGCAAAGTGCCGCGCTAGCCATGTGGTAATGCAAATACTTTTATTTCACTTCTCCAGCTTTTATTTTACCTAGCCAATACAAAAACTTTCAAACGGTACGAGCACATAGATGTAATTTTTTTGTTACATTCATTAAACGGTTTTTGAAAATTGTTAAATTGAAGTCTACATTTTAAAGCTATGATTAAGATTATTTGATGGCACTAGGGATTATACATTTCTGTAAGAGATTTGTAAGCAAAGCAGGCATTTAAAAACGTATAAGCTTTTTCACTATTAGGATAGGATAAAAGAAGCATAGCGAGTCGCACCAGTATTTGCTATACTAACTTTAAGTTATTATTATATTTTCTTATTTATGCCAAGCTCGGTTTAAAATTGAATCACTAAACAAATCGTTAACTCGTTTTTTTTAAGAAAACCTTTAACTCAATCATTGCACCCATTATTTCGATCCAATTGCCCGTTTTATATTTCTCTTGAACCTACATTACTGTAACCTATACTAACTTTGTATAATAAAAACATACAATTCTATACAAGTGATTTCCCAAATTCCCACATCTTTTTGAAGATATTTTTTATCGTCACTATCTAATAATATCATAGCTTTCGATTCGTTTTCGCTTCTCTCGATCGTTTCAATCGTAACTTTTCTATAGACAGTATAGTATAGTTAACTTTGACCGATGGCAACTAGGGGCCGAGTCATCAAAACTTTTTTTTATTGATTTTTTTACTTCTTGCAAGTTTGGAATAGTGCACACATATTTGAGATCTTTGTCTATAATTCTCGCTGTCAGAAAGATGAAAATTTTCAACATATTATTATACCCATTAGATAAGACCCGTCACCTAGTTGCTATGGCTACATAATCTCTGGATACCTGGCTATCCCGTCGGGTGTTACATCTTGCTAAAGTCTAGCTGGATACCTAGTCATATCATTTCGTGGTGCAGCTGGATACCTAGCTATCTCGTCGGGTGTTACATTATGTTAGATTCCATCTGGATACCTAGATATCTCGTCGGGTGTTACATCAGTTAGGATGCATGCATCTGAATAACTAGCCTGTCGAGTGTTACATCATGTATGGTCCAGGTGGATACCTAGCTATCCCGTCGGATGTTACATCATGTATGGTCCAGGTGGATACCTAGCTATCCCGTCGGGTGTTACATCAGTTAGGATGCATGCATCTGGATACCTAGCTATCCCGTCGTGTTACATCACGTATGGTCCAGGTGGATACCTAGCTATCCCGTCGTGTGTTATACCAGTTAGGATCCATCTGGATACCTCGTCATCCCGTCGGGTGTTCACGTTGGCTCCAGGTGGATACCTAGCTATCCCGTCGGGTGTTACATTATGTTAGGTTCCATCTGGATACCTAGATATCTCGTAGGGTGTTACATCAGTTAGGATGTATGCATCTGGATACCTAGCTATCCCGTCGTGTTACATCCCGTATGGTCCAGGTGGATACCTAGCTATCCCGTCGGGTATTACATCAGTTAGAATCCATCTGGGTACCTCGTCATCCCGTCGGGTGTTCACGTTGGCTGCAGGTGGATACCTAGCTATCCCGTCGGGTGTTACATCCACATATGGTCCAGGTGGATACCTAGCAATCCCGTCGAGTGTTACATCATGTTAGGGTCCAGGTGTTCCTTAGGCATGGGTGCTAGCACGTGGACTTGTTTCGCCTTGCCCGCGTGGTACACTTGTCCGGGACTGAACGGCTCTAGACGTGGATGTGCGGAGATGTCTTTCTTTGGATCTGCGGAGAGGTATTTTATTGTATTGTAAGATATTACGAGTAAGCAAATTGGTGACAAACATTTGACAAGTGCTGTAACAAACTTAAGGTTCAGCCAAACCAACGCGATCACTTGCGATCAGCCGGCGTGCAGCGATGGCGACCAGACTTAAATGCATTGATCGCCATCGCTGCACGCCGGCTGATCGCGTTGGTTTGGCTGAACCTTTAGTCACAACTATATGCTGAATAAAGTAAAAAAGAAGTAATGTTAGTAGAGTAAGGCACACATTTCTGAATTTTTTGTAGATGCGGTTCTCGTCGTGTATTGTCATGCGATATTGCTATCTCTCTCACATGTATGTATGTATTAATAAATAAATTGTTATTTAAAATTATATCGGTGTTTATCCGAGAATCCTTTTTTTTTAATAGGACTACTAACAAGACATACACTAGAAGACAATCAATCTTTTAGTAGGTTTATCGCTGTCGCACTCGCACTATTACTGTGCGACAGGCGTCCGTAGTATGTGCGAGCTCGACAGCAATATAATTACGCGCGAGCGACAAGAATGGGTAGTAGCTTGGGGTCATTGTACGAAATTCTATCAGCTCGGCGACCGGACTTTATTATTGTTTTTACCTTTGGTATTGGCCGCGATGTACTTGGACAGTCGCACGGTGGGCAGCGGCAGGTAGCCCGCCACTAGTGGCATTACATCTAGCGTCACGCTCTGAGCCTCCGTGCAGTTTGACTCCATTGTTATTACTCCTAGAAGGAAACACTACTTGTTAGCAAAGCTTCATCATCAGGTCATTTTGTCTCCACTGCAGGAACACGATTCTATTCAATATAGCAGATGCAAATGGAGGATTTGGTCTACATTTAATACTAGCGGCCGCCCGCGACTTTCGCACGCGAGGATCCCGTTTTAATCCCTTAGGGTTTGAATTTTGCCAAAGAGCACCTACGTTCTAAAAGGAATCCCCATGCAAAATTTTAGACTCCTAGCACTTGTAGTTTCTGAGATTTCGTGATGAGTGAGTGATTCAGTGACCTTTCGCTTTTATAAATATACAGGGTGTTAGGTAAATGGGTATATGAGCCGACACTAGCCCATGTTAACATGGGCATATAAATGGTATGGTGAAGTCAGAAATTTGATATCATCATTTTAATTTTTTTAATTTTCATACAAAATAAATTTGATAAAATCCGATTTGTATGAAAAATAAAATAATAAAAATGAAGATATCAATTTTCTGACTTCACCATACCATTCATATGACCATGTTAACATGGGCTAGTGTCGGCTCATATACCCATTTACCTAACACCCTGTAGATAGATATTTCCTACGCTAGCCAGACAGTTTAGGAATAGGCCTGATGTTCAAATATTTCTCCTCATACGACATCCCCAAAAGCTACATAAAATAGGTAATTTTACCTGCAGTCCGCCCCAACACAGCCCACATCGTCTGGTCTGCTAACACTTCGTACATAAGCGATGTGTATTCTGTTTCGTTTACCTGTAATCAGCGTGAGAAAATCATCATTTATCATTAATTATCATTTTACGGTTCAGGTTTCAAATAAGGTACAAGTTCTAGTAAGTAATGATGACATGTAACAAACTAGTAGATGAAAAAAGAAAAATATTCACATTGGCTTATTAATGAGGGCTATCGTTTTTATACTTAACAGTTGGCACCCCTGGCGATTGACAGGACCTTACTCTACAGTGGCGTCATCTTGATGAGTGCAAATGCGATAGTCCTCCTACCACTTTCGCGCTCACCAGTTGGTGCCACTGTCTTCGCTACTAGCAAGTGACAGGACCTTACTCTACAGTGGCGCTAACTGGTGAGCGCTAAAACGATAGCACTCATTGCCTAAAGCTCAATTTCACTTTGCAAGTATCTTTAATATTTATAACTTACCCTCTGTACACTCAGCTGCAAACAGCACACTTGCGAAGCCCTACAAAAGTCCGATCCCTTACTAGGCTCCAATTTCGTCCTTATCACGAACAGAGTCGTATAGTCCTGGATATCAAACGGGCAGGAGAACGTTCTGGGCGGTTCGTCCAGTTCTACCAGTCTGTATAGTACGCTGAATGTGGCTTTCATTGGCCCAGCCTTGACTAAAGGGTCTTTAAGGAGCTCCCACATGAAGGAAGCTGTGGTTCCGTCCGATGCTACCATCTGAAAGGTGAGATTGAATGAGTGAATGAATCGAAAAAATTAATGAGCGAGTAGGTGATTAAATGAATGAAACGTTTACGTTTGGTAACTACGATGCGCTGACGTATCGTTGCCGGGCTCACAAGTGCTTTCTGTCTCGCTTGTAGACATTTAAGAAGAGCGAGGTAGCTAGTGTATTCGAAATTTGAACTTGAATGTTTATGTATTGTTTGTGTTCTGTATTTTAAATTTTAATAGTGTACTCATTGTTGAAAAGCCAAAATAAATAAATAAATATGTGAGTACGTGTTCTCCTCAACATTCCTCGAGCGAGCTATAAGCTTTTAGCCCATCATACGTCAGTGGGAATATAGTTCCCACCATATTTTGGACTTTATTCCTTTGTCTTAAGGGCCAAAAACAATGAAAATTTTGTACTTGTTATACCTAAAGGCTAAGCAATTTAGCAATTTAAGGTTAAAAAACCTGGAAGTCTTTAATCCAAATAACTGTGGCACATGGAAAACAACTCACCATTTCACTAACATTCTTCGGGTTCAAATCTGACACGGTATTATTCCCATCACACTCCAGCTTCGGTTCGGTCAACACAAACTGTATGAAGTGCGCCACAGCGGATTTCAGCGTGACGTGTATGAACTTCCTGGTGTTTGACGTCAGCAGACGCCATGACGCCACCATGGGGGGAGAAAAGTGGAGTGGCACTTCTGTCGCGTTGTCCCACCATGGACAGTTGAGCCATACCTGCCGATATAAAGGAGAATTTATTTATTCATGATTGGATTCGACAAAGTTTACTCCACAGCACGTCTTATGAAACGTGTGTTATAAACCCATTCAAGCCTATGACTAGACAAAAGAGAAAGTTCATAATGTATGGACCAAAAACTCAGATTCGATTGGTACTAAATGGGTAACAGCAGTTTCATTATAATGCACATTTTAGCCTACCGATAGCTCAATGTCGAAATCAATAAGTTAGGTATTGACAGATAAAGATTGTATGAAAAAATCATGGGTTACTTTAATTTTTATCAGAACTTGAGAATTTCCACTAGTTCATCCAGTGTAAGTAGCTCTGATGGAAGAGCAGTCGCCCGACAAGCGAAAGGTCATGGGTTCGATTCCCGCCTTATGCAATTCGATTTATATAAGCTATTTATGATTATTATCAGTTTTTACAAATTAATAATTTATTAACGATTTACTACGACATACAACGAATACTTTTCTATCATTAGGTAATCAAAGTACCTAACGTTAAGTTTCTTCCTTTTATCAATGACATTATTTCAAAATTCAAAATGAAGATTAGTCTCGAATACTACGCTAATAGAATAAACCAAATCAGAATACCAGACCAATAACTAAATCCAACAGGTACTCGAGCCAACCCCTAAAACTGTGTGGGTAGTACAACAAATACTTACAGTATGTTCAATACTCTTCTCCCTCTTCGGTTGCAAGCTGGCAAACAGTCTGAGCGGCACTTTGGTGGTTTCAAACGGTTTGCTAGGCGGCACCGGTATCGACAGCTCTCGCGTCATCGCTGTGTCGTCATCAGCGAACCGGATGAGCAGGCCTGCTGATGTCTTGAGGAGGATTGAGGTGTTCTGGAAAAGATTATGCTTTATGAATTTGAATTTAGTTTATTCCAGAGCTTACTGATTAGAGATGAAACGGATATCCGGTAACTATCCGGTAGGCCGGATATCCGGCCGGATACCGGATAGTAACTTACTATCCGGCCGGATACCGGATATTAAAAAACTACGACAATTTCCTATTAATAAAATGAAATACATTAATCTTTGAGGTAAATATCAATAAAATGGCTTACAATAATGACGGCTTTTATTTAAAGTCCAAAAAGTTAGAAAAAAGCCATAATAAGGCCTTTCAAAATTAATTTCTTTTTCTGGGCTATTCACTCTAATGACGAATACATAAATAGTAAATATCTGTTAATGTCGAAATATTGCCAAATAAAATAAGCTATTTTTTCACTGATGGTCTGATGACATGATGCAACTAATTAAATTTTCGCTATATTCAATCACACACGATTGCATTTGCAACCGAAATTGAACTGATCTGCCCCCTAGACAAGTGACAAAATCTGATATTCTATTCGGACGGATTCGATTTTCGAAAAGTGTGACTAGTCTACTAATAGACCCACTGATCGCGTTGAAAGCACCTGTGCGGCGCTATACTCGTCACGACATGCAACGAGACAATGGGCCAACTATCCGGCCGCCGGATATCTGGCTATCCGGCCTAGCAGCTGGCCGGATATCCGGTATCCGGTATCCGGCCAAACAACTATCCGTTTCATCTCTATTACTGATTTCTATTAAAAGAGATAAGTGGTAAGTTGGTATAAAATAGGCTGTGCGCAACGATGCAAACTTGACGCATGTGTGACGTGATACATTATACATTTCTGTACATTTAAAATTAAAACATTATCTTTGATATTGTATGCGTGCCGTGATATCAAGATATAATTGACCCTTTATACGGCAGTGGGAATATAGTTCCCACCATATTTTGAACTTTATTCCCCTGCCTAAAGATCTAAAAACAATGAAAAAATTTTGACCTTTTATGTCCGATAAAGGCTTAAGAGAGCAAAATAATATTGCAATTACAAATCATCCCGGTAAAATCTGAAGAAACTGCGATTTATAAAAGATAGCTTAAGAGCGTTTACGCCGTTTGGCGCAAAAACAGTACTTTTTCAACTCGTTACAATCATTAACCAGTAATACTACAAATATGTTATAGGCATAAATAGTTAGGCAATTTCGTCGTCTAAATAGTTAATTGAGAAAATATTGCGATTAGTTTAGAATTTAAGAATTCTATCAAGATAAGTCCACACAGGTTTTGTAAATTTCCACTTTAGCGTCAGTTTACAAGCTGAAATTTTTATAAAAATTCTGTGAAAACGATCTAACANGGTGAATCAAAGTATTTTGGTTTGACTATAGAGCGTGAGAACACGCACACAGTCATAATTATTTTAGTGTGAATAAAACTAGCATCGAAATTACCTAAACTTGACATGCCACGCTAGACGTAAACGCTCTTAATGTTAACCAACTAACCTCTTTCAACTGCGCACTGCCACTAGTAATGACAAGTTCCATAGAATGTTCTAGACCCGCCACTAAATCCTTCTTCGGCTCTATTTTGTTCAAGTACACATTCACACCTTGGGTCACCACATCGAACCCAACCTTGGTACTATTCAAAACATTTGACAGAAACTCCAATTTTCCCTCGACCAGTAGCGACACCTGTCCCAGTTTAAACGTACCACATTGATTCGCGGTGTATTCCAGTTTTAACTCGTTCAAACCGGGTTTTAGAACAACATTTTCTAGCGCTAGGGAAGTTAAGAAGTTGTTCCTCGTTGTGGCCGAAGGTTTTCTATATTTACTACTGTCAGAACGTTTTAGTGTCACTTTTGGGTTCTGACATTCGATGGTGGCTTTCTGTAGAGTCTTGTCCTCCTTGTAGAGTAGTTTAGAAGTAATTTGTAAAGGGTTTAGCAAAGGATTCTTAGGTTTTAAATCGTCCAGTCTTATGCTGAAAAGATAAACAATAAATTAGTTTTATTATACGTATAATGACGCCATGAATATTAAAAAGATAGATTTGTATGCTAAATTGCTAATAACAAAAAAATATCTACAAATACGTTTTAAGAACCATTTATATATTTGAAGATAGATTAATGGGTGCTCTATTTGAAAGTCATTTAATTTTATTCATTTTTTCCATTTAATGAAACATTACCAATAATAAATATGAATGGTATTAGAAATCGATAATTGCTTGAATAAATAATGAAAAGCATGATGAATCTATCCAATAGATATTTGGAATAAATAAGTAAAATGTTACTCGGAAAAATTGATGTTAAAATAAAACTGTCCCCGCAATTTGCAACATAATTTACATCAGTTTGTTAACAGGTCAGTCGTTAAAAATCTCCAAATAGTTTTAGGCTGGCTTGCACCATCTCACTTTAACTTTGACAAACGTCTATCAAACTCCATACAAAAAACACCGGTTATCGTTATAGATAGTTACGGTCAAAGTTAGGTGGTGCAACTCAGTCTTAGAATGACAGAGCATACAAGTCTGAAGCAAATCTGAAGTCTCGCTAACGTTTGACGTCACAAAATCGCCCATTCCTCAGGCACTAAAGGGAGATGTGACAAGGGGGCGTGGTCGCAGCAATATGCCCAAAAACAGAACACATTGCTCGCGAAAGCAATGATGACAGCAGCGACGTCATAATGTAAACAGTTTACATTGCTTGCGTAGTACTAAAGATTATTCGAACGTTGAGTACTGATACCGCAATGGATAATGAGCACATATTTTAATTACTTTGTGTGTGTGAATTTCTAATGCGACACTGAGTTTCGAACTCGGCGCATTAGTTATTTAATTTTTAGCGTTAAGCATCTCAAATTAATTTGAAAATTATAAATAACTTGAAAAAATCGAACTGCCTAAGACGGGAATTGAACCCACGACCTTCCGCTTGCCGGGCATTAGTTGGCATCTCTCTATATCTCTATGTGTCAGTTAGACCTAAAATACGAAACGTATAGATGACCCAAACTGAACTGTCCCACCAAACTCATTGACAGAGGGGCGCCATCATCGTTCAACTATACAGTTTTCAACATGACAAAAATCGGAACCAGCGATTCGGTATTGACGGTGGCGCCCCACTGTCAATGTCACGGATAGGACAGTTCAGTATATTCGGTCTTTATAGATGACCCACGCTGAACTGTCCCACCAAACTCATAGACAGAGGGGCGCCACCATCTTTCAACTACACAGTTGTCAACATGACAAAAATCGGAACTAGCGATTCGGTATTGACGGTGGCGCCCCACTGTCAATGTCACGGATAGGACAGTTCAGTATATTCGGTCTTTATAGATGACCCACGCTGAACTGTCCCACCAAACTCAATGACAGGGGGGCGCTACCATCGTTCAACTACACAGTTTTCAACATGACAAAAATCGGAACTAGCGATTCCGTATTGACGGTGGCGCCCCGCTGTCAATGTCACGGATATGACAGTTCAGTATATTATGTCTTTACCTGCTTATTAGGTTGCACACGTCACTGTCGGTGGACACGTCTGACGTCTTTCGCTGCAGGTTAGTCTGAGTACTTACACTACCGTTAACATTTAAATCAGTCTTATAGCTTTTGACCGGCGTCTTTTTGTCTTGCATCTCCTCCTATAAAAGAAGAAGACGAGTATATTTGATACAGCCCCGGATACTATTACCTACGGTGTTTATAATACGGCGTGTTAAATGTGGTCGGAATGATAACCCATGAATTACAGAGAGCGTAGTGTGAGTTTACATCAATCGTCGTCACTAGTGAGCGCGTAAAATGACATTAAATGTATGACGGATTATACAGCGCCCCTAGCGGAAACTTTCAAGAAATAAAATTTGTCCCACACTAAGCCCTAAGCCCTCAGGTATAGTGCTTAACTCTGCCAGTTGCTGAGATACAGGAGCGGCACGTGAGAGGTGACATTGACATAATTATGACATGACAGGGTTTACAAATCTAGTCTCGCTGACGTTTGTCACAAAATCACCCATACCGCTCCCATAGCTCACTGAATGGGTTACGCGGTAGACCTATAATTACTGCAGTATAAGTTTTATATGCGGCAAAGGTTATTGCAGCCATAATTAATCAACCAAAAACATTATGTTACAAAGCTAACTGTGTAATACATTTAAATAGGGCGATAAATAAAAAAATAAAATTAAAGAAAACCGTGACTGCTAATCACGCGGCGTGACGTTATAGTTCACACATTTAATTTTATAAACCTTGGGAAGTGACATTTGATTTGAAATAATAATAGAAGATAGCACTTCAGACAGTACATTTTCGTTGCAAAACAGCCCCTTCAACTACATAAAATGTTATGTTTAACTTGATTTGCCGCCATATACGTTTAATAATTATAAAACATTTACCTTACAAGATTCTATGCTGATCGCCGCTCGAGTGCAGTTCACATCTTTCGAGAAATGCGACTCGACGAGCAAGCAACATTGGACCTTGTTCTCAGTGATATAAACACCACGATCGGACGGCACGAGGGTTGTTGAGATTATCTTGAAGCAGTCATTGAGCTCTGTGAGGACAGATTCGGTCCTTTCGTTGAGGTCCACTCTTATTGAGTTCATCATCTCTTCGAAGTAGAAGTTTCTGACTAGAATCTCTAATTCGGCTGTACACGCTATTGTTGCAGAGAGCTTTGTATATCTGGAAAAGAAAAATATTATACATATTTCTATATCGTTTATGAAGAGAAAAAAAACGATAATATTTATGGTTCTTAATATATTTTGGTCTGTGACAGTTAGTCCCAGAACAGACGGTGAAACGCAACTGCAACGAAACTGCAACTGCTAGTTACTTTTGAGTTGTATCTAATTTATTTATTTTTTATCCACAACGAGGAAGCCATAGCGTCCGTTGAGAGACCACACATGACGCGACCAGTTTGAAACCGATTTGAAACGCGCGTCATGTGTGGTCTCTCAACGGACGCTATGGCAGAAACTTAGATGCCATTCAAAAGTAACTAGCAGTTGCAGTTTCGTTTCACCGTCTGTTCTGGGCCTTTGGCAAAATAGCTGTCAATTCTTTAAAAGAGTAATTTGACATTGACCAATAAACAGGGTTGCCATTTTCAATTTCATTTAATAAACAACAGAAGAAAATGGTATTGTCCGATTTTGGAAAAAGACGTCAGTTCCTGTCTTCAATGGAGCATCCACTCTAGAACCTTGCCACTCCATCGGCCGTCAGTTCTGCGTGCTATGTGCCCTGCCCATTGCTACTTCAGCTTGCTAATCCGTCGGGCTATGTTCGTTTCTCAATCTAGTTAGAAGAAAATCCTGACTACAATAAGACTCACCTATCTACATCGTTCATCTTCTTAGCGGCTGCTACCAGCTCGAGCCTGGTCTGGGCTGCCAGGTCCTTCCAGCCTTGTTCCTCGTATGATCGAAGAGCATCCATGAGGAACACCACCGCTTTACTTGTCTCGCCTAGTTCGGAATAGAAGGCTGCGAGGTCCCGGCCTATTAGACGGGCGAATCTGTGGGAGAAAGAAATGGCGATATTATGTATTGTTATAAAAAAACATGCTGCATCTTTAATCAGGTCTTGATTAGGTCCAAGTAACAATATGGTACTGTTTCATAAAGAAATTCAATCAAGGAACAAAAGTAAAAACGTAATCAAAATTCTTGACGACATTATTTTACATTTGATCACGAATATAAGGTGCAAACTGTTTTTGTTGACTCTAAATTGGCAACCTTGATGCCATCTTCGCTAACTCAGCCAAATCAAAAAGGAGCCCCGGACAACGCAATGTTTGTTTTGGACAATAATTAAAGACTAAAGACGAATTACTTGTTAAAAAAAAGTTGAGTTGGCGTCGCGGCGATCGACGCTGCGCGGGCGCTGCCGAGACGTTCGTTCGTTCGTTTCAGCCAAATGACGTCCACTGCTGGACAAAGGCCTCCTCCAAGGTTTTCCACAATGCACGGTCCTGCGCTGCCCGCATCCAGGCTCTTCCCGCGACCTTTACGAGATCGTCGGTCCACCTAGTAGGAGGCCTGCCCACGCTACGTCTTCCAGCCCGTGGTCGCCACTCGAGAACTTTTCTGCCCCAACGGCCATCGTCTCTACGAGCTATGTGCCCCGCCCACTGCCACTTGGTTTTAGCAATTCTGCGAGCTATGTCGGTCACTTTGGTTCTCCTGCGGATCTCCTCATTTCTGATTCGATCACGCAGGGAAACTCCAAGCATGGCCCGCTCCATCGCCCTTTGGGTGACCTTGAGCCTTCTTATGAGGCCCATAGTAAGCGACCACGTTTCAGATCCATAAATCAACACTGGCAGCACACACTGCTCGAAGACTTTTGTCTTGAGACGAGACGACTATGTTTGAAATACGCTAGATTGGGAGTCCCTTATAATGATGGAAGCTGGTCTTTCTGAGCATCGCTTCCTTTAGCCTATTATTTCATGGTAAAATTGCTTTGATCTTCTTTCTACCCGTGGCTACCAGTTTACCTTTCTTTGAAGAAGCATCACGTATCTTAACCTCCCAATATGCTTAAGAAGTCCCCATCGCCATCTCAGCCAACTCCAGATAATACTGCTGGAAGCTAGTCTTGCTGAGAAGCGCTTCCTTCAGCCTGTCAGTGGGCGTGGGCTGCTGGTTGTTGGGCTCGCTGTCGCCCATTCCTGCTGATAGCATCACCACTAGATAGAACTGTTCCAAAGAAGGATTACATACCTTAAGCTCCCAATGTGCAGCTCAAGAGAATACTGCTGGAAGCTAGTCTTGCTGAGCAGTGATTCCTTCAGCCTGTCACTTCTAAACTTGCTCTGAAGTAATGGCCAATTCAGCTGGCTCCAGATCATACTACTAGAAACTTATCATGCTGAGTAGCGCTTCCTTCAGCCTGTCGCTTCTAAACTTGTTCTGAAGAAAGATCACACCAAGTACACTTGCTGTAAAGAAGGATTATACGTACCTTAGCCTTCCAAAATGCTTATAAGTCCCCATAGCTAACTTAGCCAGTTCTAAATTATACTGCTGGAAGCTGGTCTTGCTGAACAGCACTTCATAAAACCTTTTGCTGTCAGTAAAGCTTATTTAAAGTAGGGTCATGTACCTTAACCTCCCAATATGCTTTTACGTCCCCATGGCCAGCTCAGCTAACTCCAGATAATACTGCTGGAAGCTCGTCTTGCTGAATAGAACTTTATAAAACCTTCTGCTGCCAGTCAATATAGTTTTAAAGAAGGGTCACGTACCTTAACCTCCCAATATGCTTGTACGTCCCCATAGCTAACTCAGCCAACTCCAAATAATACTGCTGGAAGCTAGTCTTGCTGAGCAGCGCTTCCTTCAGCCTGTCGGTGGGCGTGGGCTGCTGGTTGTTGGGCTCGCTGTCGCCCATGCCGGCTGACAGCATCACCACTATATGGAGCTGTTCTGAAGTAGGATTACGTACCTTGAGCTCCCAATGTGCAGCTCAAGAGAATACTGCTGGAAGCTAGTCTTGCTGAGAAGCGCTTCCTTCAGCCTATCACTTTTAAACTTGCTCTGAAGCAGCATCACGTACCTTAACCTCCCAATATGCTTGTACGTTCCCATGGCCAGTTCAGCTGGCTCCAGATCATACTACTAGAAACTTATCATGTTGAGTAGCGCTTTCTTCAGCCTGTCACTTCTAAACTTGTTCTGAAGAAAGATCACACCAAGTAAACCTGCTGTAAAGAAGGATTATACGTACCTTAACCTCCCAATGTGCTTATAAGTCCCCATAGCTAACTTAGTCAGTCCTATATTATACTGCTGGAAGCTGGTCTTGCTGAACAGCACTTTATAAAACCTTCTGCTGCCAGTCAAGATAGTTTTAAAGAAGGGTCACGTACCTTAACCTCCCAATATGCTTGTACGTCCCCATAGCTAGTTCAGCCAACTCCAGATAATACTGCTGGAAGCTAGTCTTGCTGAGCAGCGCTTCCTTCAGCCTGTCGGTGGGCGTGGGCTGCTGGTTGTTGGGCTCGCTGTCGCCCATGCCGGCTGATAGCATCACCACTAGATGGAGCTGTTCTGATGTGGGATCGGGAGAGCCTGGGAGGAGTCCGCAGAGTTTTCCTAACTCGTGGAGCTGTAGAAAAAAAGAGGTTGGGTTTAGTGGGGGATAAAATTGGAAAGCTGATTGTGTTTAAATCTGTCTTTGTGTATCATTACAGCATTCGACGAAATAAGAAGCTTGTCGACCTGGAGTCGTCAAGTTATAGCTTCATTATCATCAGAACGTCATTGGGCAGGAGCATGACCCTCTAATATACCAGAGGCAAATGAAGGATTTTAGACCACGTACCGGAAAACGCAGCGTGGGACGTTTCACAAGGTGGACCGACGACCTGATAAGGTAGCAGGAAGGCGCTGGATGCAGGCCGCTACCATCCGGGCGATATGGAAATCATTGGGGGAGGCCTATGTTCAGCAGTGGACGTCCTGCGGCTGAAATTATGATGATGACGAAATGAAGGAATTGGCCTAAACTCACTTAAACTTACGGGCATTGGCGTATCTAGGGTTATTTTTTATGCAATGACGCCCGATGGATACGTAATACGTAAATAAATGTTCCCAGACTTGCCAAAAACATTGCCTAAACTACCCAAAACACTACAAACCTCACCTTGTCTTTAGCATTATGCAGTAACGGCGCCTGAGTAGCTGTACACATTTCCAAAGCATTATTCGACGCTGCGAGCCTCTCACAGGCCCTAAGGGTCTCCGCACACGCTACGTCAATATTTCACAAACTGCTAAAACTCGACAAATACCTCACCTTATCTTTCGCATTATGTAGTAACGGCGCCTGCGTGGCGGTACACATCTCCAAAGCATTATTGGACGCTGCGAGCCTCTCACAGGCCCTAAGGGTCTCCGCACATGCTACGTAAATATTGCACAAACTACTAAAACTCGACAAATACCTCACCTTGTCTTTAGCATTATGCAGTAACGGCGCCTGAGTGGCGGTACACATCTCCAAAGCATTATTCGACGCTGCGAGCCTCTCATTGGCCCCAAGGGTCTCCGCACACGCTACGTCAATATTGCTCAAACTACTAAAACTCGACAAATACCTCACCTTGTCTTTAGCATTATGCAGTAACGGCGCCTGAGTAGCTGTACACATCTCCAAAGCATTATTCGACGCTGCGAGCCTCTCACAGGCCCTAAGGGTCTCCGCACACGCCAACTGGGCCCAGCAAGCAGCAGCACCCTCTACGACGCTTACGCTCAGCAGAGACAACTCGACGAGCGTGTTTTGGACGGTGCTCAGACAGAGGGAAGCGATCTGGAAAGATGATTCGGAGGGTTATTGGAATTCAGTATCATTTACCTCTTCTTCATGACGATCGGTCAAAAGAGAGATGCAGGTTATGGCGCGAGAGAGCTGATCTCCCCTGCCCTTTTGTCCCTATGTCTGAGAGTCCTCCACCTGGACATGAGCTCCCTTGGCTTACCTGGGAGTCTTTAAGAGCGTTGTAGCAAAAAGTTGGCGTTCGAATTTTAGGTTTTTATTGCTTGACGTCGCGTAGTGAGTGCGCAAACTGCATTTATCTGTACAATTTCAACGCTGCGTCGACTAAACGATCTTAATCCGTAGTTGTATCGTACCTAAGACAGTACATCATACATATTAATAAAGAAATAATGTATAATTTANGTGACAACGCTCTTAAATAGACTTCGGACGCATGTAGGCCGTAGTAAGGACAATCTGGTCAGGTGGGGATTCTTGGACGGTTTAAACATGGAGTGCAGGTGCGGTTTTGTTCCCCAGTCGTTGAAGCGGGTCTAGACAAAGTGCAAATTATAATCGCAAACCAGTCGAAAAGTGGTCGAAAAGCCCCTTTTTTGTATGGAGTTTTGACGGATTCGATTTTCGATTCGATCAAAAAGTGCATTTTGTCTAGGGGGGCTGATGTCGTGCTACTCAGGAGGATTTGATGAGTGCTACTGACAACGCCACTCTTGTGGCGGAGTTTTGGGCTGACACTGTGTAGGTTTGTTGTCGACACGAAAAGAAGAAGAAGTATCATATAGATTTTAGAGCTATGAATAAATAAAATTAAACGAAAAATGGATATCCGCTTATTTTTGTAAGATTATTAGCAATTTGTATTACACAAATTACTAATAGTCCTGTTAGCCCCTCGTGTTAAGCTAAATAAGCTTGTGTTACGAGTGGGCTCACCACAATAGTCGAGCGGCGCGGCGGTGGGATTCGAATGCGTTCCTCGGATCTCGAGTCGGCCAGTCCGACCCCTTCACCGTTTGGCTGTCGTAGCTATACTAAAATAATAATAAAATCGGTCACTGTTTTATTATGGTTATTCTGTAAAAGACGTGTGAGGGACACTCACACCCGTATTCACAAACGATGCTTGCTCAAGTGAAGCAGCAACGCTGTACGAAGTCGAACACACAGCGTTGAATAGAGCTCTGTGATTGGTTCGAGTGTCACTCCGCCACTCAAGTATTGTCTATAAATAGGTTTTTGCGAACCTGTGTGTCCGCACTGTGAGACCTCATAGTAATGTTTGTGAATAGGGGTGTTAAACGCGAGTTGTGGCTAGTAATTTTTAATTTCTTCATAATTTATTATGTGTATGAAACAATAATAAATGAACTGAAGTGTTAATCACTCTGGCATAACGTTAGTGGTTGTAGTTTAGGAGTGAAAAAATTAATGAACATCGCTCTTCAATCGTTCAGCTTTCTATTTCAGGAAATAAGTATGATAATGGTATTAGATTTTGGACTGAATAGTCAGTCTTCAACGTTGCTGTTAAATCAAAACCTATCTATAGTGATACAGGTACAGTGATCAGTAGGCCTAAGATGCGCGCCGCGATAAGCGGTTATCACGCCATTTTATCGATTTTGTCCATAATTTTGACGTCGATAAAAGTTATCACGGCGCGCATCTTAGGCCTACGGATCATGCAAATATTACGTATCTATCAAGACACTGCAGGCTTACTACGAAATGCTATTTACGTAGTTTCGGATGTATCTGTCACTCTCGCTCATGCTGGCATCTCGCTTTGCGTGAGAGGGATGGTAACTTTCAAAAATTCGGATAGCGTTTTTCGGAGTAAGCCCGCTGCTTTAGACGTTTATAACGTTCCAAACTCTCGGTTCGTTCGTTGTGATTTATGTGAAGAATCTTTCCGCCCGCGGCATTGCCCGCGTGGAATTTTGTCTGTCACAGAAAAACATTATCGCGCGCGTCCCTGTTTCTAAAACCGGGATAAAAACTATCCTATGTCCTTTCCCGGGACTCAAACTATCTCTATGCCAAATTTCATCAAAATTGATTCAATGGTTTAGGCGTGAAAGCAAGACAGACATTCAGACAAGAGTTTCTTTCGCATTTATAATTTTATAATCTACTATATAAAAATAAGTCGGGTTTTCCTCCCTGACGCTATAACTCCAGAACGCACGAACCGATTTCCACGGTTTTGCATTCGTTGGAAAGGTCTCGGGCTCCGTGAGGTTTATAGCAAAGAAAATTCGGGAAAAGGGGGTAAAACGGGATCCACGCGTACGAAGTCGCGGGCGGCCGCTAGTCTACTATATAAAAATAAGTCGGGTTTTCCTTCCTAACGCTATAACTCCAGAACGCACGAACCGATTTCCACGGTTTTGCATTCGTTGGAAAGGTCTCGGGCTCTGTGAGGTTTATAGCAAAGAAAATTAACAAACGAAATTCCACGCGGGCGAAGCCGCGGGCGGAAAGCTAGTATTAGTATAGATACTCTAAATAAAGATATGATCGTTACAGCTTCATTATATTGCTTATTGATCAGGAAACGATGCACAAGGCTGTTATTGTCAAGTAATTAATAGCAATCGACACTCGAATATTCAATGCCGGACGTAATTATTTATTGAAATGCTTGGAACGAAATAACGTAACTAATGACGGAAAAAATCACGGATTGTTTTATTATTTATGTCTACAACTATGTTTGTGAAATGGTTACATTGTGTTAAATATGTATGAATTTTGCTATTAGGAAAATTGATGAAGTATATTTAGCGTTCCACTCCAATGATTGGCAAAGTTCTTTTACACGTTTACGACGTGTAACTTTTTGTACATTAACTACTTCAATATCGGCTTGTGCAGGGATGAAGAACGACAAGAATCTTGTCACTTTCATCATTTCAGCCACAGAATGTCCACTGCTGAACATAGGCGTCCCCCAATGACATCGCAAGGTTGGTAGCGACCGGCATCCAGCGCTTTTCTGCTACCATTATAAGATCGTCGGTCTACTTTGTGGGTGGACGTTCCACGGTGCGTATTTCGGTACGTCGTGACCTCCACTCCAGAACCTTGCTGTCCCATCGGCCGTCAGTTCTGCGTACTATGTGCCCTGACCATTGCCACTTTAGCTTGCTAATCGGTCGGGCTTGTCACTTAGCCTTTTTTTCAATATGTTTACAAGATTAACTATAAGCTAGGCAGTTTTTTCAGTTAGGTGAACGTAGTGGATGTACTATTGACACTGCTCCCTCCACATAACTTTAGTAGTAAGAAAAGACTTCAAGAATGGAATAAAGTTGTCACAAAACCACATAAAAACACGTCTAGCAAGCAATCTTTCTGCAGTAAATCTAACTGGATACGCACTTCACAGATGGGTGGCCATGGGGAAACTATCCAATGCTGTCTATGCAATGATTTGTGCACAGCAAAAACAGTTCCGAAAACACATTTTACCGACGTGACATATATGCCCGTTTTCACCATCAATCCCTAATTTTTAAGTGACACTTATGAAAACAACATTCCTGTTATGTGTTTTCATATGTGTCACTTAAAATTAGAGATAGATGGTGAAAACGGGCATTAAAATCTTTCTCTTCTAATATTGCAGCACTAACATTTCTAACATAAAACAAAAGAATGTGATAATATTGCAATAACTTCGCGTGATTTTATGCTATTTCCGATTAACATGAGTGGGCCAGTGAATACGTAATTATGTTACCGGGTATTTCCGTAATAATAAATAAAAAGTACACTTTAAATTAAATCAATCATATAAAAAGTTACAATATTCGTAATTAATAAGAAATGAGGCGCATAACTACCGTAGGCCAGAATTTCATAACATAGTTTAAACAGCATTGTTGTATTCCGGGCTAGCTCTCTTTTTGTGACGTGGTACGTGGATTTGTCCCTATCCTGTAGGCCTAAGATGCGCGCCGTGATAACTTTTATCGACGTCAAAATGTACGGGCAAAATCGATAAAATTGCGTGATAACCGCTTATCGTGGCGCGCATCTCAGGCCTACTGGCTGCTTTTATTGGGCTATGGCACAACATAGGTAAGCCACATGTTTTACCGACTTTGTAATTTGTTCGCAGCGCACATTTTTTGGCTCACCGATTAATTCAGAAGACCGACATAATTGCCACGATTAAAAAGGATGCGCTGGAACGATATTAATTGTTAATTTCGGTTATGTGTGTGCGAATTAATTGGAGCAATTAACTAATGTTTCATGACGTTTTACCGTACTAGTAGGTATTTATTTGAAAATATGCTAAAGAAATAATGTACGCGAGAGAGAAATGGTTAAGTTAGAAATTTGAGAACTCTGACTGTCTATTTTGGGAGACGGTGGATTGTTTTAAGATGATACGAATTCTTAAAGTTGTATGTATCTCGCATCAAGTTTAGATATATGGATTTATCTTGTTGTATACAATAAAAAATAACCAAACATCACTGGTGTTGATCGGCAAAAAATATTATATGATGTGCGAACTACTTCCAACCGACAATAAATTGGACGATGTGTGCTGTGTGGTGTGAACAGGATTTGTACGTTTAAAGAATAATTTGCACTTAATTACATCTATGTTACTTAATTATCGCACACTGCATTCGATATACTTGTTACAATCCAATTATTTACTGTGTTTTGTAACAGTCTATTTATCAACCGCACAATGTCATGCTAAGCTTGTTACGCGAACTTAAATCAACGGTACGAATCATACGATGTCATTGGAGACCTATAATATAATTAAGTGGTATTAAGACTAGTGCAACGTTTCCTTTTGCACTCAATTCTATGGTCTGATGGCCATTGGTAATTATGGTAGCGATTATAAAGCATCGGTACATATGAACTTAATGCGTTCAGATTTAGCTACAATTGTGTGCTTTATCTTAGTTTTTGTGACCTTTGAAAATGTAGGTATTTTTTAATAAGATAACAAAGTAATAATACTTAAAACTAAATAAGCAATATTACAAATATCAAATAACTTTTATTGCTATATTTGATAGTTGTTGTTTGCGGTAAAAATAATAAAATGGGTATTTACCTCCCAAGGTTTAAACATTAGCAATAACATGGCACTTTGACGCTGGAAGAGGTAGCTTCTGAAGTCTAAAAGCGACGCCTTTTTCTTAATTATGAGCTCCCTTAAATGCTGGGGCACCAGGGCGGTCAGTCTCACTGCCTGCCATGACGTCACTGGCTGCTTAAACGTGTCAAGCCATTTTGGGCTCTCTGTCACGTTGGAATTGAGTACAAATTGTGAAAACAATGCATCTAATTCATCATACTGGACTAATGCTTCTTCATACAAACCTAGCATTTCTAATACAAATGCTAGTTGTTCCTGTAAAAAAAATATTGTTCAGTTTCGAACAACAAAAAACAAATTACATGATTTGAAATTAATTTACGTACCTGTAAAATAAAGTATTTACAAAAATCCCATTCTGGGTCATTTCGCTTCTCTCTTTGCTCTCTCATGTGCTCTTCGAACTTTATCAATGCTTTGTTGTACGCAACCAGTACAAAATGCCTGATCTTTGCTACCAATGCACGCCATGATTCCGCACTCCTTGCTTCAGACTTGATAGGATTGATTACGGAAAGAAATCTATCCTCAGTCTGTTTGACAGCAAAATCTCCTTTTATTTTGTCCAAGACCGTTGTTCTTGGAAGGAGCTTGTTTGTTTTGCGAATGTCGTAAGTTTCAACTAAAACTATCATCCAATCGGTGATGCCATTCTTTTCCAGTTGCTTCAGCCATGTTTCTACATCTTCTCGGAGGGTAGTTTTGTAGTATTCTATGTCCTGCAAGCAAAATCGTAGCAATTACAACTATTTACTAGTAAACTGACCGACGATCTGGTAAAAATCCCGGGAAGAGCCTGGACGCAGGCAGCGCAGGACCGTTCATTGTGGAAAACCTTGGGGGAAGCCTTTGTTTAGCAGTGGACGTCATTTGGCTGAAACGAAGAACTAGTAAACTATTTTACATTAAAATTGCCTTTTTTAAATAACAATACCTTAGCAAAACTTGCTTCAACTCAATTAGAAAATACAATGTAATAGTTGTTAAGTTATAGTTCTAACAACACTAATTAATTAATTAAGTATACTTTGAAATGCAATAAACATAAACAACTTTTTTGTTGACTTTTACAAATATTTCATTAGTAAATACCCAATGTAATTCAATTAAAAATAATTGTAGCTTTTTAATTTCAATTCACACTAAATGTTAAATACATTCTGAAAAATCTTATTTACTAAATTTATGATGATTGGCAAATAATATTCATGTTAAAAATATGAATACTCACCACACAGTCTGTCCAGTAAATATGGAAGATAGGACGCTTCAACAAATTCTGCTCCGCTGCTACTTTATCCTTGTTGTATTTTACAAAAGATGCTTCCAAGTAAACAGATTTAGGAGGGCGTCCATATGAACGCCTCCATTCACAGGAATCCTGAGGGATAGCAGCCACCAGGGGCGCCTCTAATGTGCAAAATAAATTCCAGTCTCCTGCACCTATAGAATAAACAGAAATTAATTACCTTTTTCTTCAACTTTTAATAATTCCAGGGCATATCTACTCACATGTTATTATCGGTTTGTTTGTCATCCCTTCACGATCAGCTGGGGAGTTATCAACACCCTTCATTTTTCATCATCAGCGAAATTAGACAACTTTGCAGGCATGACACAAATATAAAAATCCACCCACTTACTGGGTTTTTCTAAATTGTCACTAACATGTAATGTTTCATAGACGTTTTCGACATTTACGCAGAAAGAGAAATGTTTTGTTTAATTAATTTTAATTGATTTTATTACCTATCGATAAACGAAAATAATAAAAAATTCAGAATTTGTCAAAATTAGCTGTCAGCCACCCAACTCGACAGGTATTTACGTTTAGTTCATACTCAAGCGAGACCCTAATTATATTTTATGATTCATAAAATTTATGAGGATTACCATTAGAGTAATATGCTAAGCTGAAATTAAGCTAAGTAATTTCACCAAATTAGAGCTTTTTTCAGATATTTACTCTTGTAAAATTTAATACGACTGACTATAACATAATCCATCACAAACGAACTAAACGCAAAAAATAGAGACACAGCTCGCTATTTGATTTACCGGTTGGTTGAAGTTTTCCGGTTTTCAAGCTTAATTAATCCTAGACTTGCAACACCACTTTGCTCTATATTATTTATGCGTCGTCAAAATGTCGCTTTCTGTTTTGGTATCGTCTTGCACTAAAGGAAATCAATTTTAATAAGTTATCCATGATTTTTCTACTAATAAGTGTTATTTGTACTAAAACAAACTGGAATTGATATCACTACATACAACGGGTAATATATTTCCTAGCATAAAATTCATTGAAAAGCAGTTTTAACTTCACGATCATTTTGTCTTATTTTACTGCATTATTTAATGATTAATCTAAATACGTAACTTTTAACTTGGAAATCGATCGAAGTACGTTACTGCAAAAGCGAATATTAAAAGCTTAACGCATTGCTGTGCTTTGAAAATGTTGTAAATATTTCTCTCATTAATCTTGATTTAATCTAACCAGTTTCTAGTGAAACTTGGTCTAGGTGTTATTTACCGATAAATTAATGACCATACATGTAACGTGGTGATTATAGAGACTGCTTGTTGCAGTAATTTTGTTGGGAATTGTAGTGTATAATCTTGATTTCCTGTTCATGTCTTCAGTACTCTAGTAGCCATGAATACCGCGGCGCCAACGTCTGCAGATGCCTGTCTGAGCATCGTGCACTCCTTGATGTGCCACCGCCAAGGCGGCGAGAGTGAGGGGTTCTCTAAACGTGCCATAGAATCACTTGTCAAGAAGCTGAAAGAGAAGCGAGATGAACTTGATTCTTTGATCACGGCTATAACTACAAACGGAGCACATCCCAGCAAATGTGTAACTATACAGCGGACTTTAGATGGTCGTTTGCAGGTAAGGTTATATTAAATGAAGTTATTGGTCCTGTTATATTCAATTCTTGTAAATTTTTGTCTCACCCTCACTTTGTAAAAATGTCCAAAAAGATTTTAATTAATTCTCTTTTTTAACTTGTAGGTAGCTGGACGCAAAGGTTTCCCACATGTGATCTATGCACGCATCTGGCGTTGGCCTGATCTTCACAAAAACGAACTGAAGCATGTGAAATTTTGTCAGTTTGCATTTGACCTCAAATGTGACTCAGTTTGTGTCAATCCATACCATTATGAAAGGGTTGTCTCACCAGGCATTGGTTTGTATAGTTATTATGAATTACATTACTTATTTAGTGGTTTAGACAGGTTTCGAGCGTAACAGCTTCAAATAGAATTTGGGGTAAAATTATTAGCTAACGTTAACTCAAGGTCTCTAGTCAAGGTTAACTTTTATTATGAAGCTAAGTAAAACCAGTTATTATTTATGACCGCTCATTATAATGTGAATGGGTAATCTGAAGACAAGCAGATGCACAAATTTTGAATAATAAAATATAGGAATGTTTTAGGCTGAGTTGCACCACCTAACTTTGACTGTAACTATTACGATAACTGGTGTTTTTTGTATGGAGTTTGACATTTTTGATTTTTGTCAATTTTAAAGTAAGATGGTGCAACCCAGCCTTAGTCCAGTATAATATGTTAATCATGATGTTATTCCTAGTATTGATATTGTATGATATTAGTATAGGTGTGGGCATCGCTCATTCACGCTTCAAGCTATGACTCATTGTGATTTTAGTTTGTAAGAATCAGGTATTTGCAGATCTTTCCGGTTTAACACTTCAGTCTGGTCCGAGTAGATTGGTAAAAGATGAATACACCGCAGGCATCAGTGGCAACGGAATGGACATGGATACCGGGGAACTGGTGACCATCCAGCACCATGCCACCAGTCCTCGCCACCACCACTCCACTATACCACATCATCATCAGCAGTTCCAGACCACAAATATTATTATTAACCAGGGACAAAGTGAGATTTTTAAATTTTTTATTAAAAAAAAGAGTGGTTTTTTTGTGATGTGAAGTTTCATTGTTAGTTAGGTTTTTTTAAGACTTTAATTGTTTGATTATTTAAACATTATGTAGCATAGAAAATGAGTTCAATACAGGTTTTTGATTAGTTAATTAACTGTTGTCCTGTCACATTATTGTGTTAAACTTTCAGCTTCATATTATTGAAATGTAGATTTGTGTCATTTATTTTGCGACGCATGCTAATTTTATTTTGCATTTTCTCGTGTTAGCGCCAGATGGCGTCCCGAATATATTTTCGCCGACGCACGGCCCGCGGACGCCCATCCGGCCCCCCGGGGCCCCGCCTCAGATGGGGCAAATGGGGCACTCGCCCGGTGCTCCCCAGATGATTTCACATCCAAACGCTGGTCAGATGCCCACACCACAGATGGTCCAAGGCAATCAGATGGGGCCAGGGACTCCTCAAATGGGGCCGGGTACGCCTCAGATGGGGCCGGGTACGCCTCAAATGGGGCCGGGTACTCCTCAAATGGGGACAAACGTGCCTCAAATGGCTTCGCCGCGAATGGCGTCGGCGCCAACTCAGATGTCGCCGGGGACGCCCCAAATGCCGAGCATAAGTCAAGCGATGTCGATGCCTAGTCCCCAGCAGATGGCCATGGCCCAGCAGCGGGTCATAGCCCCGAAAATAGAGCCACCAGACACGATGGATGCTCGAGCGATGTGGCTGCCAAAAAGAATGAACCATTGTAAGCTTCTTATTTTATTTTGCACCGTTTCCTTTCATGTATTGTGGTTGTCCATTACAACTTTGAATTCTTTCAGCGATTTCATTTATTTTGTCTATTTTTATACACTTAATCCCAACTAATATTATAAATGCGAAAGTAACTCTGTCTGTCTGTCTGTCTGTCTGTCTGTCTGTTACGCTTTCCCGCTTAAACCTCGCAACCGATTTTGATGAAATTTGGCATAGAGATAGTTTGAGTCCCGGGAAAGAACATAGGATAGTTTTTATCCCGGTTTTTGAAACAGGGACGCGCGCGATAAAGTTTTTCTGTGACAGACAAAATTCCACGCGGGCGAAGCCGCGGGCGGAAAGCTAGTTGTTAATAAATCCTCATATTTTTACACAGTCGTGAGTAATTTCGCAGGAGTATTCGCAATCTATGTTAGATTCTACTTGTTGACCTTTCAGCGGCGCTGCCGGTTAGTATGTCTCCCGGGGGCACGACCCCGATCATAGACGGAACCACCACAACCTTCTTCACGACTGAACAGACCACTACAGATACTCAACTGACACAGACAATACCAGGTGAGATTCTGTGCTGTGATAGATAAGATACTATCTTATCTATCTAATTAGTTATACTTTTAGTTTAAGGTTTAGAAGCGTGGTTCTGATAGAGTAGAACGACCACCACTACTCTCTAAGTAAGAGGACAACTTAGGGAGAAATATGCGAACATCAGGCTTCTTCATTTCCTCTGACCAGCATAGGAATTGTCACTGGGCTAAATCTTCCATTTTCCTTTGGCCTTTGCCAGAAGTATCTTAACTTTGAAATCTTTTTAAGGCGAGAGTGAATAGGCACTTACAAGGCAGATATGTACCATCCTAGACTGCATCTCACTCAACAACAGGTGCGATTGCGGTCAAATACCTGCCTTGTTATCTATTAAAAAAAAACTGAGTGTCTAGACAAAGTGCACATTTTAATCGCAAACCTGTCGAAAAGTAGTTGAAAAGCCTCTTTTTTGTATAGAGTTATGACGGATTCGATTTTCGATTCGTTAAAAAAGTGCATTTTGTCTAGGGGGGCTGAATTTTTAAGATTTGCCATTAGTTTTTTCATATGCCTCGTCATCAGTGAGAACTTTTCCACCCATGGCTCCAATTTAAGACTGCCTTGTCCTCAGTAAGAGCCAAGCAACCCACAAGGCAATGAGGGCTATCGTTTTTATACTTAACAGTTGGCACCCCTAGTGATTGACAGGACCTTACTCTACAGTGGCGCCATCTTGATGAGTGCAAATGCGATAGTCCTCCTACCACTTTCGCGATCACCAGTTGGTGCCACTGTCTACGCTACTAGCAAGTGACAGGACCTTACTCTACAGTGGCGCAAACTGGTGAGCGCTAAAACGATAGTCCTCATTTAATCATCCATGCGAGCTCCAACCATTAACCAAAGATTTATCCCCAGTGGGAACCGTAGCAGTGTCCCCAGTGGCAGCGGAGACGTCGCAGCAGAACGGCTTCGCCGCGTCGAGCAGCCCGGCGCCGCAGCCCAGCCCGCTGCCGCACCGCACGCCGCAGACGCAGCAGCAGCAGCAGCAGCAGCAGCAACAGCAGCAGCAGCAGCAGCAACAGCAGCAGCAGCAAGGTATTTGGGAACAATAACAACAACAGTTTTGTAGAATTAGTGTTTCTAGGACTATTAACTGGTGTACTAATGTAAGTCACATTAGATACACTGGTCTGGACTGTGAGCACGTAGAATTTTGTCCAATGACCCCAAGCTACCCATCCTTATAGCTCGCGCGTAATTGTGTTGCTATCGCGCTCGCACACTCACTGCGGGTGCCTGTCGCACAGTCGCGACAGCAATATAATTACGCGCGAGCGATAAGGATGGGTAGCTAGGAGTCATTGGACAAAATTCTACGTGCTCACAGACCGGGCTTTAGAAGGCGATACTATTGGTGTAATAAAGTAAAATTCGTGTTTTTTTTAAATCCCCAAGCACAAGTCTTATCTAGGATAAATTCTCGTGACTCCTTTCAATATTCGATTATTTCCTAATATCGAATTATTCGGTTATAATTATTATCGGTTTCCCGGTAATTTTAGGGTTCATTTTCCACGGGAGCAGCCGACTGGAGATAGTTATGTACTGTACAAGCAACAGATTAAGTGCGCGACACGACGCGACGCGGCTCCGCGGCTAGCGCGACGAGCGTGATCGAACGAATTCATCGAAATGCCATATACGTATGTCGCTGGCATTTCTTGTCACTTACCTAGGACACCGCTGCACGCTATGACAATTGCGTCGCGTCGTGTCGCCGCTGTAGGTCTAAATGTGCGCTGTGATAACTTTTATCGACGTCAAAATGTATGGGCAAATCGATAAAATGGCGTGATAACCGCTTATCGCGGCGCACATCTTGACCCGATGTTCTGCCGTGAGCTACGGAACGCGACATGAAGCGACGCAACGCAACGCGACGTAATGCAATGAGGGCTATCGTTTTAGCGCTCACCAGTTAGTACCACTGTAGAGTAAGGTCCTGTCACTTGCTAGTAGCGAAGACAGTGGCACCAACTGGTGAGTGCTAAAGTTGTAGGAGGACTATCGCATTTGCACTCATCAAGATGGCGCCACTGTAGAGTAAGGTCCTGTCAATCGCCAGGGGTGCCAACTGTTAAGTATAAAAACGATAGCCCTCATTGCGTCGCGTCGTGTCGCGCTGCGCCTAAGATGCACTTTTATCGACGTCAAAATGAATGGGCAAAATCGATAAAATGGCGTGATAACCGCTTATCGCGGCGCACATCTTGACCCGATGTTCTGCCGTGAGCTACGGAACGCGACATGAAGCGACGCAACGCGACATGAAGCGACGCAACGCGACGTAATGCAATATGTACTTCAAGTGACGTTTTCGGTAGCGTCGCGTTGTCGCGTTTGTCGTTTACTTAGAACAACGGGTAACTTAAAACACCTCGTTAGATTAGAATTACGAGTTAACTTTAAGTGAGCTATGAACCCAGTGCGGTAACAGGGTGTATTCCGCCAGGCACGTGGACGGGCAACAACACGCTGACGTACACGCAGAGTCTGGCGCCGCCGCCCGCCGCGCCGCCCGCGCCGATTGACGCGCCGCCGCACCACCACCACTATTGTCAGTATTGCCAGGCCTGTTCATCTCCGCGAGTTTACATCGAAAACAAAACACGCACGATGGCCCACCTACGAATACTATTCGACAAGGCCTCACATACGAGCGAACATTGACTCACGCACGCGTATTCTTGTGTATGATGGAAGAAAATAAAGAAAATGGTGTACTAAATACTGTGCAGTATTTAACTGCCTAAATAATAATAAAAACACAGAATGTACTTTTTTAAGTTGCCTCAAGACACAGAGGTAAATAAGTAGTTAATATTATTCATAATAATTCATGCTAAATCATGTATTTCCTCCGCCATTTTCCGCAGTTTGGCACCTCACGTCACATCATTTTACCGAAGTCAGCCCTATAGCTTCGGCACAGTGCCGATCACTGACGTTTGTCAACACAATGGTGCTTGACTCTTGAGACAGGCTAAATTACACCATATTGTTAATGACATTGAGCATACATTTTTTTAAATACCTTCGCGAAGTAAAACTTCTGTACGTAGTACTTATTTATTATTATTCTGTGGTATTGCGATCCTACCTCCGTATCACGAAACGACAAATAAAATACATTATTATAACAAAGTAGGGCCAACGAGAAGCGATACCAAATGTAAACAAACCCAATGTCATGGTCATTTGGAATAGCAGGGGTATACACAAGAGGGGAAGAGACAGAATAGATTGTCAGTTCGACAGTCGAATCGACCTTTTCTATCGCTGCTAGTTGGCCGTACTTTACTGCTAATTGCGGTTCGAATATTGAAAACCCGGTTAATGACCTGGCAAAGTAATGACTTAATATGCTGTAATATCTATGCTTGAGTTGTATTCGAGCATTGAGCGTCGTTTCGTAATACGGACTGGCCCCTTGTTTGTTTATAGGGTCCGCGTGCACAAGTGTTACTAAAAGTTTGAATTTTTTGCGTCTCAGAAATAAAGCCGAAGAAACATGTTTGCAACTTACTGTTACTACTATGCTTAATATCTGTTTTTGCCTTTGCCACGGATTCCGTAAACAAACTGTAGCATAATGTAGTCAGATGTATAATATTGTAAGAAGCGGACAGTGTTCGTGTGTTTTGCATTTGATATAAAATTGAAATGTGTGTGTTTTAATACGATACATACATTTACCATGTAGTAAGAAAAAAAAAACAATTTTTTGCAGACAATGGCAACCCTGGCGGTTTGCTCTCCAGCCAGCCAGCGCCCGAATACTGGTGCTCCGTCGCCTACTTCGAACTGGATACGCAAGTCGGGGAGACCTTCAAAGTACCCTCCAGCAGGCCTAATGTCACTGTAAGTTCCTTTACATAAGTTTATGTAGTCCCACGTTGGGCGCCAACTTTTTGTTAACTTGAAGGATATGTTTTGCATAATTTCACGAGGCCCCACGTTGGGCGCCAACTTTTTGTCAACTGGATATATTTTTTAAAATATTTTAAATTACTAATAGCAAGATTATTCAAACTGTTATCTTAAATACATATTACAAAAGTAACTTGATGTTTCCGCCCATGTATAGTTGGCGCCCAATATGGTACTGGATAGAAATTGATATTAGGCAGATTTTTGTTTTAAAATAGCACATATCAGAACTATTAATGGTTTATCAGAAGATAATATGAGGTCTTTCTTTTAGGTGGATGGCTACGTGGATCCTTCAGGCGGTAACAGGTTCTGTCTAGGCGCGCTCAGCAATGTCCACAGAACAGAACAGAGTGAGCGGGCGAGGTAAATGCTATTAATTTTTTTTAAGCTGCTTCTTTATTTATTTTGTTAAAGATTTACCAGCATTTATTGCAATTTCACATGCACCGTTACATTAAAAGAAAGCTAGAATCTAAAAGATAGGTACGCCTTTACAGCATTCAAAGAAAATAAGCTTGTCGACAGAAAAAAGAAAAATTTTAATCAGATTTTGATTGATCGATTTTAACTTCGAACTCTCCTATGTTCTTCTGATTAATTTCGTTGCGGTTCCAATGGCAGTTTAACTTTCCCCCGGGATAACTTGACCTTCACTGGTTGGGTTTTTATTGGCAATCAAGCTGTAGATCCTGGATACACAGGAGTTGCAGCGGTGGGAACGAGAGGTGGGAATAGTCCCGTTTTTCTCAGCCATTGGCCTAACATAAATGCCATAGATTGCACATAAGGCCCGCCATACACGGGCAGCTTGAAGCATTTAGTATCCGACAGCTTCAAGCTGTGACTGCTTTCTTCTGTAGGTTGCTATGCAGTCGCAGCTTGAAGCTGTCGACATTAACTGCTTCAAGCTGTCCATGTATGGCTACGTTGTCACATATTTTTTTCATTCCACAGACTGCACATCGGCAAAGGCGTTCAGCTAGACTTACGCGGCGAGGGCGATGTGTGGCTTCGGTGCCTTTCAGACCACTCAGTCTTCGTGCAGTCCTACTATCTAGACCGCGAAGCAGGCCGCGCGCCAGGCGACGCTGTGCATAAGATATACCCTTCTGCTTGCATTAAGGTAATGACCTTCTAGTGTCTAGATATCTACATCGAGTAGGGTAAATCAGTATGAATTGATTTTACATTCATTACTTACTTTCGCATGATATTTGATTGTACCCAGTTTTGTAAGCCAAATAAAAAAAAAAAAACAGAGAGGTTTTGAAGTTGCCGAATTATTGTGTAACTTATGCCAATAACAGAAATATAGTCTTCGATGGTGTCACCTTTCAGACCATTCTGTTTTCGTGCAGTCTTAGTACCTGGACCTGCTTGAAAGGTATTTTTGGTAGGGTATTTCCCCAATACCGACAAGTGCAACGTATGACGTCCATCCCACAAGGTCCTCATAAAGGTTGCAGGTAGGTTCTGGATGCATGCAGGCTGCTACCAACCGATCAATCTAGAAATTGGGGGATGCTAATGTTCAGCAGTACATCCCCATGTCACAAAATAATGTATACAGGGTGTTAGGTAAATGGGTATATGAGCCGACACTAGCCCATGTTAACATGGGCATATAAATGGTATGGTGAAGTCAGAAATTTGATATTATCATTTTAATTTTTTAAATTTTCATAAAAATTAAATTTTATAAAATCCGATTTGTATGAAAAATAAAATAATTAAAATGAAGATAATCAATTTTCTGACTTCGCCATACCATTTATATGACCATGTTAACATGGGCTAGTGTCGGCTCATATACCCATTTACCTAACACCCTGATGTATACGAGTAATCTGCCCTGATGTTGACCTGACCTTACTACACCTGTAACGTATCTTTCCAGGTGTTCGACCTTCGTCAGTGCCACCGGCAGATGCAGACGCAAGCTGCGACCGCGCAGGCCGCCGCCGCCGCACAGGCCGCCGCTGTCGCCGGGCACATACAGCCGCAGCACCCCTCCATGAACAAGTGTGAGTCACGATACACTACGCTACACCACGATACAACATAGATTAATAATTCGATTATCAAATAATATTAATTTTGAGTACCATACAGCCGCAGCACCCCTCCATGAACAAGTGTGAGTCACGATACACTACCCTACACCACGATACAACACGCTACAACATCCTACTTCCTACTAATATCCTACTTTATTATAAAGGCGAAAGTTTGGATGTCTGGATGTTTGTTACTCTTTCACGCAAAACTACTGAACGGATTTTTTGAAACTTTACAGTATTATTGTTTATAACCCAGATTAACCACGCGTACGAAGTCGCGGGAGGCCGCTAGTAGATTAATAATTCGATTATCAAATAATATGACTACTATGCAGCCGTAGTACCCCTCCATACAAGTGTGAGTCACGATACACTACGCTACACCACGATACAATACGTTACAACATAGATTAATAATTCGATTATCAAATAATATGAATTATGAGTACCATATAGCCGCAGCACCCCTCCATGAATAAGTGTGAGTCACGATACAATATGCTACACCACGATACAACACGCTACAAATTAGATTAATAATTCGATTATCAAATTATATGACTACCATACAGCAGCATCCTTTTATGAACAAGTGGAAGTCACGATATATTACGCTACACCACGATACAACATGCTACTACGTAAATTAATACTTCGATGATCAAATAATATGACTACCATACAGCAGCATCCTTCTATGAACAAGTGTGGGTCACGATACACCACGATATAACACGCTACAACTAAAAATAATACTTGTATGATCAAATGACTACCATACAACCGACAGCTCCCTTCTATGAACAAGTGTAAGCCACGATACATTACGCTACAATATAAAATAATGGGTCCATATTGGCTCACCTAAAGTTATTTACCCGAAATTGTTCTTCCTAACGATTTTAAATCCGAATGATCACTCTTCCTAAAATTTTTCATCCTAAAGTTTTCATTCATACTATTTGTAGTGCTACCGGCGATGTTCATAACACTCATGTTTCCGAAAATTGTAATTAATAATATCATTTATGTAAATACAGGGTGTTACTTTGCATTCTTGCCATATTTACAGAGGTTACTATATTACTGATACTGAACACAAATTCGTAAAAAAATAATGCCCGAAAAATTTTTTTTTTAATCTTGAGTATTTTATTTTATCGACAATCTGTTAAACACATCACTAATTATCGTAACGCATGCACATCACTTGTTGGCGATGCGATAAAGACTTTTTTACTTTTTATTGTATTTTTAAATATCTTTTGCAATCTATTGTCTTTAAAATGTCTTTTTGACACTTGTAAAAAACTGAGAAATCCATCAATCACAAATCACGTTATAAAAAATACAAAAATGTCTGAAGTGTATTCAAACAACGAATAATTTAATCAAAATGGTGCTTGGAGTGTCTGCAAGACGTCTTAGACGAAATGCTTGATGACGTACCCTTAGCGTTACATCAAATGCTCTATCTACTACCAGCAGGATGGTGCTCCCCCACAATAAGGACGTCAAGTGCGCGAATAATACGTTTGGTGAACAGTGGATTGGACGAGTGGTCCAGTAGCTTGGCCACCACGATCCTCGGACCTGATACCAATGGATTTTTGGAGTGACTTGAAACGATTGGTATGCGCAGAAGAGATAAACAGTGTAAACGCGTTACATGAAAGGATTGTTTTAGTGAAACTGTTAGACAAAACGTTTATGTGTTGCGAAAACTAAAGCGAAAAACCTACGCTTCGCCGTGCTAGACTGTGCCTTCATCAGAACGGAGGACACTTTGAACACTTGCTTCGCAGTACATAAACTTTGTAAGTAGGAACTTATAAATAAATAATTAATTGTGAATAAGGTGATTTCATTTCATACTTAATTTATTAATTTGTAAAAATAGGGTACAAAGTTAAAATTAATTAAAACCCTAATAATTATTACGTATTTTTTTGTTAAATCCATAAATATAAAGGCTATTTGTGCTACAGAACTTTATAAAAGTTTTCACGGTCTCTCTCTCTGTACACATGGTTATGCAAAACGACCTTTTGTTCACAATAAGTTTGAGTGTGCTGAACGGTTTATGTACTTATTAAATCCCCATTTCATTAATTGTTTGCTTAACACACACCCTAACAGCCCAAAAATACGTTCGCGATTGCATAAATATGAGTTCGTCACAAAAGCCGAAAATCATCGTAACTGAATATAAATATTCATGTACCAATATTTGCTCTGCGTACCGTACATTTACACGTTCGCATGAATCCATATTGTGATGTATTCGCGTGCGGGATTCGCTTTTATGAGAACATTCCGTTTTTGTGCTAACTCGTTTAACGTTGTGATAATAATGTTAGAGTTGAATGACGATTTGCATTTACAACTTTATACTGGAGTATGGAAAATTTTTACAAAAAGGCTTTTTCTTGTTAAATCCATAAATATAAAGGCTATTTGTGCTACAGAACTTTATAAAAGTTTTCACGGTCTCTCTCTCTGTACACATGGTTATGCAAAACGACCTTTTGTTCACAATAAGTTTGAGTGTGCTGAACGGTTTATGTACTTATTAAATCCCCATTTCATTAATTGTTTGCTTAACACACACCCTAACAGCCCAAAAATACGTTCGCGATTGCATAAATATGAGTTCGTCACAAAAGCCGAAAATCATCGTAACTGAATATAAATATTCATGTACCAATATTTGCTCTGCGTACCGTACATTTACACGTTCGCATGAATCCATATTGTGATGTATTCGCGTGCGGGATTCGCTTTTATGAGAACATTCCGTTTTTGTGCTAACTCGTTTAACGTTGTGATAATAATGTTAGAGTTGAATGACGATTTGCATTTACAACTTTATACTGGAGTATGGAAAATTTTTACAAAAAGGCTTTTTCAGAGTAAGAATATACACTCCAATTTTAACTTCAATGGCTACCATGGCCTGGTAGTTTTAGTATTGGATCAAGACGCATGCATGGTGATTGACCATTACAATCACACAAATAGTGAGAAGAGTAAGAGCTACTACCAATACTAGCCCTATTTTATTTGTATTGCCTTCAAATCTCATTTTTTACAGTTCCCAGGATATTTTCATGGATTTTTGTAAAAAAGAGTTAAGGTAATCGGGTAGTTTTTGTCTTTCTGGAAGCCCTTAAAGACCATGGAATATAGTTTGACCCTTTTCTATCATCTCTACGTCGTCCTGTTTCACAATTTACTATGTAGTTAATAGGTAGGTATACATAAGAAAATCCTTACCTCTTTATGCAGCAGCTTGACATGGAAGCTAGCGACGTCACTGACCGGTTCCCCTGCTTCTGTGACGTAGTATACCAGCAGCGAGCTGACGGGCGCCATGTCTGCTGTCACTGGGAACCTATGAAAGGGAAGGTATTATTTATTTGTGTCTCATTCGAAATGGAGACATATTTAACAGCAAAGAAGAAAAATACTAATTTACGTACGGATTCACATAAATATGCCTAACCTTCTCACTCATGAGGCACCTAAGGAAAACTAGGGTCGAGGCATCTTTTGGCACTTCGATTTGCTAGGATGTGCCTTGTCACTACTTTTCAGTGAAACGGGTTATTTTAAATGACAATTTACTTTTGTAATTTCTTGTGTTTATTCAGTGAATACAGTATTGTATTTCTTCTTTAGATAAGTCAGTACAAAGAATTCGAGCACAATTTGTTTTATTTTTATTTAAATTACATTTCGATGAATTAGAATTAAAAAAATACGCCTCTTGTTGTCATTGAACCGTATAAAACGACGAAAACTTGACTGTCAATGTGATTCAATTCCATTATAATTTTCAGCCCAATTTAAATTTGGAATATGATGCAAGGAATATCCAAATTGTTAGATTTTACCATCCCAGCTATGCATCTACAAGCGAGGTTAAATAAAACCTTGCAAAATAAACTAAATATTTATTGATAGCTTAGTCAACTTTAAAATCGATGTGATTCAAATAAAATAAGTAGCTCAGATATTTAATTTAAATCACATCAATTTATGTAATTCCAATTACATACCATTGATGTAGTTAATTAATTAGTAGCTTAATATTCAATCAGCATTACAGTGGTTCTCATTACACAAACAAAGAATTTAATTTGCCTGTTTTCCGAAACATGTAACGACCCAAATTTGTTTCGTAATGGACTCTGCTGATGCAGTGCACGCCAAAGTAATTGACTAATTACGACAATAGCCGATATAAAAATTATATTTAGTAAATCAATTTTATTAAATTAATTAATGTTAAAACTGTGAATATTTGTCGACTGTAACAGATTATGTACTTATTTTCTCAGTTTGACCAATGGTTAACTGACAGAATTCTCATCAAATCCGCTGATTAATCTAGTTATTTTTGAAGAAAAACTTAGCAACAATGTAATATAATTCACGATGCCCAGGACAATTTACTTTTATTTACCAAAAAAAACATAAGACACGATATCTCTTGCATGCAATCTACGAGTACAATTTTCTCAAGTTGATAAGATAAAAAGCGGCTATAACCCCCGACAGTCGCCGTGATGAATTGGCCCCGGGGGCCCGCTAGGTGCCGCAATATGAGTTATGTGTCGCTTATTAAAGAACAAGCACTTTTGTGGGCCATGGGAGACACAGGAAGATTTACAAACCATAGATATAAATAATGCCTACTGTTTTAATTGGTCCCTTGATACTATTTTAGTCACAAGCCACCTCATTCAAGATTTTCAGGTTTTTAGGCAAGAAATCACATGCAAATAATGTTAAAAAAATACATTTCGAAAGTTCAAGAATGATTTATTACTGTGGGACAAGAGTCGGTTCACTCTATTTAATATTGAAAGTAGGTGTCTTTCAGAGTTTTTATTTCAGCTAATAATTTCTATTTTATACAGTCACTTTGCAGATTTCAGGAGCCCATAATAAAGTCAATG